GAAAAACCTTTTTGATGAAAATTGCTGCATATTTGCAACGTACAAATAAATGGACAGCGGTGCATCGACTGCCGGTACAAAGATGCATTATTTGCATACCCGAAGAAAACTTTTACGGGCTGTACATAGCAACCACACGTACCCGAGGGCTGGGTTTGAACTCATTAATACCTACTTGGGCGGGGGATATCCCCCTAAAACTCCAGTGTCCTAGTTTCTCAGACCCCGAGTTAGCAACTTACCTGAAAAAAATTTTGGCGGGCCCGCATGTGGTACCACGCGGGCAAGATCATTTTGGAGATGGGGGCCCGTACACGCATGTAGATTAAGTTCCCAAAGTTTCAGCCCTGTGGCTTTTGTAGGTTTCGAGATGAAAAATTGGTACAGACGAACACACAGACACATACACAAACACAGACAGCCTCTTGTCAATATGCGTTTTCTGTATTGCATAGATGCAAAAAGCGCATAAAAACTAGTGTTAAATTTTTCTCCTCTCCCAAAAATAATCCAAGCTGGAACGCACCAGGCTCTCCGGTGCGATCATGCATTTTTGCACTAAACTCGCAGATCGCTATTAGCAGGAATGATTCCTACGCTGTAGCCTAACACTTGGGTAATATTGGCCATGTTTTGATCCTTTCTGGCATGCAGGAGGAAGGGCATCAGTTGGGATGAAGGTGGTGCATTACAACTGGGATGAAGGTGGTGCAAATCCAGGTGCATGATTACCGGTTTTTTGCACGAAGTCCGGTCGTTTTTTCGGCAAATGCTCGCCTTGTTAAAAAATGACAAATGCAAATTTTTTGAAAAAATGCAGATTTCCAGTTCACAAAAAGTGGAAGTGTTGCTCTAGCGGTCGTTTGTCAAAAAATCCACATTCATTTACATATACGATTGCGGTTAAGGCCCGAGCTACGAACGGATTTTTGAAAATATGCAAATTTTCAGTTCATTGAAAAATTGAAAGCATTGCTCGAACGGTCGTTTTTCAAAAAATCCATATTCACTTGCATGTACGATTGCGGCTCAGGTCCAAGTTGCTGACGATTTTTGAGTTTAGAAGCTGCTTGAGACTGTGGTTGGGGAGCTAGAGGGCTGAGTTTAAAATTTTTATCTCGCACGTGCATAGAGAATATCCC